TGACTGCGCCTAGTGCAAGCTTCACGTCATCGTAGTACTAGAGCATTATTATCAAACCTAGCTTATCGTACAAACTGCACTAGGCATTTTCGACTCGATGTGTTAACATAGATGGATGAGTGCTAGATGCATTCATAAATGTCACATTAGGTGACTCCGACTGACATGTTAGTATAGATTATAGCACATAATCATATCTATACTGTTGTTGAGAATAGCTGCTGTGGCATAGTTCTGGACTTACATTTGGCATGCTTTTGATTTTCATACTTATACGTAGTATCATTTTCTGCAAACTATACTTGTTTTACAGCGAGGGGTTAGTATGATTGAAAAATAAATGGATTTTATAAACATTTATTTTTATGCCCACTCACCCTTCTGTTTTTCGCCCATCCAGGTCTTAATTAGTTGATTTATCTCTATGGCATACGAGGAATAGCTGGTGGTTCTGACATATCTCATCTTAACGTAGGAACTTAAACTTATTTCCAGTTGTGTATTTCTCCATCTAGGAAATTAAACTTATCTCCAGTTGTGTAATATGTACTTCTCTCGTTCGACTGCTTTACATTTGTAGTTATGGGTTGTAACCACTATTGTGCACTCACATTATTAGTTAGTTAAATTCTAGTTTCAGTTTTAATTTATTCACAATTTTCTTACATCACTTGCACTTTTGGTTACGTCACCTTCACGTGACGGCCATCACACCTTGATTCCGGTCAAGGTGTGTCATATCCGGCCCAATTTCAACGTTATATACTCCATTCGGTTGTCAAAAATCAATTTTAAAAAAGACTTAAATGTTAAAACGGCCCTGTGTTTAACACTTCCGACCAATTTAGTCCCTATGTTTGACTCAATTAATCAATGTGCTCCTTTTCCATCCAATTATCATAAAAAATTTACAAACATGTTTCAAATTGATAAAAGAAAGAATAAAATTAAGAAAATAAAATAAAAACTATAAAAGAATTAAGAAAAAATAATAATAAAAATTCAACGATAACAATTAAAACCCTCCTGCCTCTTACTTTTTCCTAATCCTAGCCACCACCATCATCAAATCCATCCAAAGCAACACTTCAGCCACCATGAATCGCTCCATTACTACTCATCCTATCTCTCTCCGAAAAAATTTCACCCCACGGTCTCTCATCTGCCAGCGAATTTGCATCATTTCTCCAGCATTACGTCGACGTTGCTCTCCTCATTCTGCTCCCCCTACGCCAACCTATACAACCCCAGCTTGAGTCATCTTTGCTTCCACCACCTTCGTAGACTTGATTTGCCCCTCTTCTCCTCCTTTTTGGATCTCTATTCCCCACTCCACATTCGTGGTTAGAGATGTTACCTTGAGTTTTTAAACTAAATATTTATTTATTTTTATTTCAAATGTTACGATGAGCTTTTCATATTTCTTAAATAACTAGAGTTTTTAATAATTTAAAATAAAACATTAAACATTACATTAACAAAATTGACCAAATTGGTTAATTGTTTAAAACATAAGAACCAAATCGACTAAATTGAAAATACGAGAATTAAATTGACGGAACATGTAAAACTCAAAGATCATTTTGACATTTAAGCCTTCAAAAATCCAAAAAGTAGGATAGAAAAGCCAACCGGGGTTAGAAGAGGTGGTTAAGCCAGACCAGCACCACATAAAAGACAGGCCACCACTAAATCCTGGCCGTCCGTTCCCTCCCCAACCACCTCTGGTTAAATTTCGCATCTCCTCCTTCGCATTTCCGCCTATAAATACCTCCCCGAGATCCCCCCATCAGATCTCATCAGAAAACAGAGGGTTTCACAGAGGGCGTCTTAATAAACGCTTTCGGCTCTTCTTCTTGTTTGTTACAGCCTCTCGTTCTTCGGTTTCGTTTCGCGGTTTCAATCGACAAAGATGAGGGAGTGCATTTCGATCCACATTGGTCAGGCTGGTATCCAGGTCGGCAATGCCTGCTGGGAGCTTTACTGCCTTGAGCATGGCATCCAGGTATCCTCTCTCTCTACATTTATCTATCGATTTTGTTCATAAGCAGATTTGCATTTCCGATCTGTGATTTGTTCGGTTTCTGATAGATCTGTGACTATTATGCTGCGATTCTTCGTGATTTGTATTGGATCTGTGTTTTTATCTGCATTTGACTCAGTTACCAATCAGATCTGTGCTTTTTGAGAATCGATGCACCTAGAAATGTTGATTTTGATTTGTATGCGAAATTAATGTTATTAGTGTTGTCAAATAATTTGATTCTCCTTGGATCTATGATTCAGTGCTGTTGTTTTTGACAGACAAATTGCATATTCTGAAAAATTCGGAGTTCGAGTTGTAATTATCTTTTAATTGAACCGATTTTGTTCCTCAGATTGTTTTTTTATGTTATTTCCTATATTTTGTGCTCTTATTGTAATGTGATGGTGAAATCGTATCCAAAGGTTTGTTTCTCAAGAACACTCTCGGTGGCCGCCTAAGAGCTTTTGCCCGTCGCCGGGTTTGACAGCTCAAGCTGCTTTTATCCTTACTTGGATGTCTGAGATTTAAAGTATTTGTTATGTTTCTTCGTTTTCTTCACCATTTTAAAAAAAAAAAGAATTATTTTATTGAAAAACAGACTGGATTGATTATCATTTATGATTTTGAAATGTTGTCTCGTTTGGCTTTGTAATTGGGACTTTACGTCTGCCCCGTTAGCAGTGGTTTGAGTGCTATTGGGATGAACAGGTTCCTCAAATTAATCTACCCCCATCCTTTTCACTTTGTCAGCTTTATTTCTTCTTCTGTCTTGCTGATCATTTTTGGATGGGATAGGTTAATTCTTTTAACAATGCTTTGTTTTGGTGGTTCTTGTTTTGAAAATTTGTTACAGTCGATGTGGATGCTTTGCATTTGTTATTGAGCTGTTTGTTAATTTATAATTGACAGTAACTCATTAGCATTTAAAGATAGTAACTCCATGGAATTTGGAATTTTCTTGTGTTTTTTTACTTGATTTGTGGATTAGTTGCTAATTTTTTGTGTTCTTGTACAGCCTGATGGCCAAATGCCTAGTGACAAGACCGTCGGTGGAGGTGATGATGCCTTCAACACCTTCTTTAGTGAAACTGGAGCTGGAAAGCATGTGCCTCGCGCTGTGTTTGTTGATCTTGAGCCCACTGTCATTGATGAAGTGAGGACCGGAACTTACCGCCAGCTCTTCCACCCTGAGCAACTCATTAGTGGCAAGGAAGATGCTGCCAACAACTTCGCCCGTGGTCACTACACCATCGGCAAGGAGATTGTTGATCTCTGCTTGGACCGCATCCGTAAACTTGCTGACAACTGCACTGGGCTTCAAGGGTTCCTTGTTTTCAATGCTGTTGGTGGAGGAACTGGCTCTGGTCTTGGGTCCCTTCTTTTGGAGCGTCTCTCTGTTGACTATGGAAAGAAGTCGAAGCTTGGTTTCACTGTGTATCCATCTCCACAGGTTTCTACATCTGTGGTTGAGCCCTACAACAGTGTCCTCTCAACCCACTCCCTCCTGGAACACACGGATGTTGCAGTGCTCCTTGACAACGAGGCTATCTATGATATCTGCAGGCGCTCTCTTGACATTGAGCGACCCACCTACACCAACCTCAACCGCCTTGTGTCTCAGGTACAGAACTATCTGGTTTAAAATTTTGAAGACAGAACTTAGATCACATTGATTTGTACGGAGTGGATTGTTACTAAATTATGTTTCTGTTTTGTTTTCAGGTCATTTCCTCTTTGACTGCTTCTCTGAGGTTCGATGGTGCACTTAATGTGGACGTGACTGAATTCCAGACCAACTTGGTCCCATACCCCAGAATCCACTTTATGCTTTCCTCATATGCACCAGTCATCTCTGCAGAGAAGGCGTACCATGAACAACTCTCTGTGGCTGAAATCACCAACAGTGCCTTCGAGCCCTCATCCATGATGGCAAAGTGTGATCCCCGCCACGGCAAATACATGGCCTGCTGTCTGATGTACCGTGGTGACGTTGTACCCAAGGATGTGAATGCTGCTGTTGCGACCATCAAGACCAAGCGTACCATTCAGTTTGTGGACTGGTGCCCTACTGGATTTAAGTGCGGTATCAACTACCAGCCACCTACTGTTGTCCCGGGAGGCGACCTTGCCAAGGTGCAGAGGGCCGTGTGCATGATCTCCAACTCGACCAGTGTTGCTGAGGTGTTCTCCCGAATTGACCACAAGTTTGACCTCATGTATGCCAAGCGTGCCTTTGTGCACTGGTATGTGGGTGAGGGTATGGAGGAAGGAGAGTTCTCTGAAGCCCGTGAGGATCTTGCTGCCCTTGAGAAGGATTATGAAGAAGTTGGTGCTGAGGCTGATGAAGGCGAGGACGATGGTGAAGATGAGTACTAACTTAAGTTTCTATTGTTTGTTGTTGTTCTAGTCTGAGTGTTGCCGTTTGTTATTGTAGTCCGAGTGTTATCGTTTGTTGGTTTGCCCATAAGACCTTGTGTTGTAATGGCTTCAGCTCTGTTGAAAACTATGTTTTGTGCTTGCCTACTTCATTTGCAATGTGAGTTGGATTAGTATATGATATTTTGCTATTGCCAATGTTAATTTCGTACAATAACTTCTCCCTTTGGTGCCGTTGTCAGACTTTTGTCGTGCAAAGCTTGCTGGAAAATTGTTTGTTCAACGAGGGTTCCTTTTATTCGACATGAAAGAAGGGTCCAAAATGTTCAAACAATGGAACACCCATCCATGCCAATGACCTCAACACGAGTCGCTTCGTTTACAGAGATGCTCGTGCAAAATAGAGTTCTTACAAGCATTCACATACAGCACCAATTTGCAGAAATTTAGGTTATTTTGTATACGTTGTTCATAACGAAACTTCAAGTGGGAAATTACTATAAATTAAAACCATTGTTCATAAAAATGTAACGCGACATTGTTCAAGGGCATTAACCAGAACAGCATCGCATGCGATCATAGAGATTGGAGACGGAAATAAAAAGAAAACCAAGTTATTTATAAGTTTGAGATTTATACAGAGAAAGAATAAACAAGAGGCAAGAAACTAGTTGGCCGAAACCTGTATTTGGAGTCTGTAAGTTACGTGAAAGACTAGCGCTTCACTTTACACGCGGTGCTATTTGAGAAATCCTTTCATCTTCCAGAAGTTCGTATGGATCAATGTATTGGAGTGCTGATATCTGAGAACTGCTTCCGTCATGGACAAAAGTTGATCCAAAGTACTGCCCAAGAAGATTGGAGGATCAATATCTTACACTTAATACAATGCAAACACTAACTTCTCTCTTGCTCACACACACGCTGACACGTAAACATGACAAGTGGCACGAAATTCGGGGAATTTATGCTTCCAGAAAAAAGAACAAAAACCATAATAATGCGGTCAAAAGTTCAAAAGATGATCAGGATTCGCTTTCATAACCAATTTTTTTTTCCGTATTATCACCATAGAATATGTTCAATTTATATACATAGTTGAAATATGCGTTCCTATTTACACAGCTTAAACTCCTGAGAATAATGGTAAACTACAAAAACATTAACTTAGTACCAGGATGAAGATTCTAAGTTCGAATCCTTACAACTGTCAACGCCATTGATACCGAATTCTACAAGTTGAGCTCCTCGGTGATAAGGAAACGCTCCTTCACATCCTAACTTAAGTTTAGGGAATAATGGTAGACTAACAAAAATTTAACAATAACGAAGCAAACTGCCTACTAAGGGTGAAGGATTGGCATTTGTAATAATACACATTCGGACGTCTGGATGGAAAGCAAGAGTAAAATTATGAATGAATTTAAGGCCAAGGAAGAGAGTTTACCAAGTAGAGAGCAGAGAAGAGTGCTACAGTTATGAGGATCAATGGCCAAAACCCCAAGAAGAACGACCCTCCAATCGTCAGCAAGAGTCTGGCCCGAGGGATTAACCCCTGAAAACAGATGAAGAAGTTATGCACATAAAATTTTCGCAAGTTTATTGTCACATGCACAAAGCAAGACCATTTCAATAAACAGGGGAGGTGAATTGTGCTGAAGCTAAATACGTAGTTTTGACACTTGGTGCAGCTCATCTCATGAATTAAACTATTATACCAACGGTTACTGTAAACGTAAGATATGATGTGCCAAAGTTTCACATTAGATTGATTTTACAATCACCTAAAACAGCCATTTCCATAGAAAATTACAAGAAACAAAACCAATAACGAAATAAAAGTGATTCAACCTCGAGGCCTTCGCTGTTCAATTGCATCGACCGCTCCCTTTGATTTGCTAGGCTTTTCTCAATTTCGGTTGAGACCGCATTTCTAGCTGAGAAACCTCTATCTTCATTCCTCATCTCATCGTTCATTCCGTAATCGGTCCTCTCTCTTTCCTCAAGCAAAGAAGTGGGATTCATACCCCTCCTCCTTAATTCCTTCATAAACAGCGACTCCGGCGGTTCTTCACCTGAAACATACACTTCAAACTCAGGAACATATAGATGCAAGTTGCAACCATTCCCTTGAAGTTGTAGTCATCTCCTCAGAAATACCGTACAAATTCCATCTTTGTGCTTAATTTACCAGAATTCGTTTCTCAGTTTTAACTACCCAGTAATTAACCAACCTTTTCCTAAGTAAAATTAAAGTGATCATTAGTTTTTCACTTATAAACATTAAAAACATAGACAATATAAACTTCTTTATACAAAACAAAGAAACCCATATTTCAAAACAACTCCTTTGTATGCAACCGAGTTCGAATCTCCCTCCTCGCAGGTTAGATTAGCTTAAAGTAGAATATCGCTTGTATCAGAACAACTCCCCAAAATATCAACAAACCCCAACTTTCACATACCAAATAAGAACCAGAAAATAATTTAAAAGAAAAAAAAAAAAACAGAAAAAGAATTTTGAAGAGCCCACCATTGCTTTTGCTGTCGGATTCTTGAGCTTTGCAGCAGACCCCAAATCTCCTCCTATCTCTCAATAGATATCCAGACCCCCTGTATCCTGACAACCTGATTAAACATCTCCTGGACTCATTTTCCGAGAAAACCCGGCTGGATTTTCCAGGAAAATTCGACTGGGAAACTGGGATTGAAGAGAGAGGGGACTTCAACATTTGAATAGACGCCATTCTTAATGAAAAAATAATCTCATTTCACTTCGCTTCCGACGGCTAAAAGAAAGAAGAAGAAAAAGAAGTGATTGTTTTTTAGAACGAAGGCTTTGTGCTGAGAATCAGAGGTGAAGAAGCAAGTGGTGACAAGATGTACTGGTGTATTTTAGCGACAGAGAGGTGTTGGCGGCTAACTTGCGCGGGAAATGGCGTGGTTACGTGGTCTGCTAAGTGTGGCTGAAACTTGCGGCCAGAGAGACTGACGTTATTCAACATTCTATTTTTTCCCCTTGGTGTATTTATTCTTCTTCTTTTTTTTTTTGGCAATTTGGGGAGAAATGATGGTAATTTTTCGGTTAATTTGTCTCAAGTTATTTTTTACGTAGCTAGTAAAATCAAGAGCAATGACGTTTTAATCGAATCAATACAGTAATTGTTATTTTTTGTATCACAAAGCGATAACGTTAATAAGTTAGACCACTAGTTATTAGAAGAAAGAATAATTAGTGGAGATTGAACCTCTACTAGAGTATATAGGCATGATTGTTTTCTACCATTGTGTCACTACAGTAAAGTGCTATATGTTATTAAATCTTAGGCTTTTTCGCCAAAATGGTCTTTGAGATTTGCATAACACATAACTTTGGTCCATGAGATTGAAAATCAATAGAAATGGTTCTTGAGATTGTTCACCATCTATTATTTTGGTTATTCCATTAAAAAAAAAACTCCGTTAAGTGGTCCTGGAGCTCATACTAGAAACTGAGATTTTTGGCCGGAAGTTTGGACAATTTTCAAAGATTCGTAACTCAATCGTTTCTTAACCAAATTCGACTCATAATATATCAAAATGAAGATAGGAAAGTGTAGAACAAGATTATACCTATTTGGAATCCAATGGTTGTCGGAAGTTGCAGGAGATTGCTGGAAAATAGCCTAAAAGGTGCCTGGTTTGTGGGAAAACTAGGAAACTTGCCGGAAATTGGGTAAACTTTAAACGTTCATAACTTCTTCAGTACTCAACAAAATCGAGTGATTCAAAATCGAAAATCAATGAGACGAAGAGAATGGTACTCGATGGCTAACTCGCCGTGGTTTGGCCAGAAAACGGCTCGAAAATGGCTAACTCGGCGAGACCAAAACAGCCACTTTCGAGCTATTTTTTGGCCAAACCACGGCAAGTTAGTCATAAAGAAAGGTACCATTCTCTTCATCTCGTTGAGAAGTATTATTTTTGGTTTTGAATCACTCAATTTCGTTGAGTATTGAAGAAGTTATGAACGTTTAAAGTTTACCCAGTTTCTGGTGAGTTTTCCAGTTTTCTCGCAGACCAGTCACCTTTCAGGCTATTTTCCTGCCATCTCAGGCAACCATTGGGCTTCCAAATAGGTATAATCTTGTTCAACGCTTTTCTATCTTCATTTTGATAGATTATGGGTCGAATTTGGTTAAGAAACGATTTAGTTACGAAGTTTTGAAAATTACCCAAACTTCTGGCCAAAAATCTCAGTTTCCGGTATGAGCTTCGGGGCCACTTAACGGAGTTTTTAATGGAATGACCAAAATAATGGATGGTGAACAATCTCAGGAACTATTTCTATTGATTTTCAATCTCAGGGACCAAAGTTATGTATTATGCAAATTTCAGGGACCATTTTGGTTAAAAAGCCTATATCTTAATCTAGTTTGTTTATTTTTTGTTTTGTTTTCAATACAATAATATACTTACACTTATTCGATAAAAAGCAATACATTTATTCTAAATAGAAATTAATACAAACTCGGTCTGACCCAATACTCATTCGACCTAACAATCGGACCCATTTTCGGATTTAGGTCAAAATTTTCAAGGTATGTTCCGTTAGCTTTGCCTTAACTTTGTCAATGGTTGAATAGTCCACTTCGGGTAATGGAATATTCCTTCTGGCAATGAAACATTCCATTTTCTGCGACAATTCGTGGTTGAGCATGACAGTCCAAGACGCCGATTAGGGATTTTCAGAGCACTGTTTTTCCGTAATCTTTGTAATTTTTATTAACTTTTTAAGTAAAAGTTGTTTTACTAGAGGCATAAGAGTGGTCTGTGCCACAAGAGGAGTGGAAATTGGTTTACAAGAGACCAAGCCAAAATTTTAATGAACATCATGAGCATACTTAAGTTGGTGAATACGAAGCCCAGTAAGGTCACGAGTAACTAGTAAACCTACGAAATAACTGGGGGAGGGTGCAAATCCTTGATGTCAAACTGTTAATCGATACATGAGTTTACCTCGCACCACCCACATGATTGTTGCCGGGCGAATTCTTTGTTATATCAAGGGCACCCTTGATTTACTTTGCACCCTCAACCTTCTTTCACATCCTTGTCCACTACTTCGGAAGAGGATCCTCTTTTGAGCATAGGATGAGGATCCTCTTGACCAGGAAATCTGGGACGTTCAATTTTAATCCAACGGTTACAATTATTATAACTTTTTAGGGGATCCCCTGTTTAGAGCCGTTAGATTAAAATTGAACGGCCCGGATTTCGTGGTTAGGAGGATCCTCATCCTGAGCTCAGGAGAGGATCCCCTTCCCACTACTTCGATGCTGATTGGACGGGTTGTTTAGACACTCGACATTCTACCACCAGCTATAGGCGACTGCATTCAGGTCTAGTACCGAGTATATATCACTTTGTCATGCTTGTGTGCTAAGACGACATGGCTTTGTTTTCTTCTTGGGAAGCTTGGTGTTCTTGTACTTTTTTTTCCCTTAAATTATGATAACTTGAGTGCCACCTACTTAGCTGCTAATCCCATTCATCATGCTCGTATGCGCCATATTGAACCTAATTATTACTTTTGGTGTGAAAAGGTGGCTTGGCTATCAGATTTGTTATATTTTGTCCACTGATTAGTCTATTGATCTCCTCACCAAGCCTTTTCTCAAGACCCGCCATGAGTTACTTTGCTCCAAACTTATTCGATCAGACTCGTCCAGTTAATTATGGATTATTCTCCATCATTATTGTTAATTGTATATTATGTAAGTGATATTTGTAATTAGTGTATGATTCCTACCTTAATATTAATGTAACTCTCTCTCTCTCTCTCTCTCTCTCTCTCTCTCTCTCTCTCTATATATATATATAATATTGTACTATCATTTACCTATTAATACAAGGAGTCATATTTCTATATAATCCCCTCTACTCGTTTATAAAACTTGACGTGGAAAACAAATTGTATCATGTCCGAATAATTTGTATACGAGACACGAGAAAAAGTAGCATCAAATAACTGGATAAAGAAAAGTGAGACATACTTGGGAGAGACGTTCCAATACTTTTTTAACAGTGAAAGAAGCGTACCACTAAACTAATAGTTTGTTGAATATATTACTGTCTTGAAAATTAAAGAGTGGATAAATGAGAAATCTACAATTATTGAGTAAGATGATATAATTGTTGCATCATAGTCACACAAACAATGATTTGTTTAATCTTATATAGTTTTATACTCATTAGAAGTCTTGGCAGATCAATCTCAAAACGTAGTTTTCAGTTTCAAAAGCTTGCATAATTGAGGCTCTAAGTATATTTGTTTAATTAAGGCAAGACACTGCCACCTGCCAAGAATTTCATGAATCCTGTTATTGGCTTGAAGCCCAAAAGAAACGGATCTGCTGAAAAATACTCTCTCAGGTCTGAAGTTTGTAGGCTTTCGGTTAGTAGAAAATGCACACTAGAAACCAATAGGTGAGAATTACGCATCATTTTCTTTTGGAAGTTTATACAGTTACATGATATGATCCTACACGCCATAGATGCCGTGGATTTTGTTACATATTTGTGGTCCAATAAAATTGACAATTTAGGTCTGAATCTAGATTTTGTTTTGCAGCCACACAATCATACATGTGACATATATATATAAGGATACTTTAGATGCGGTCCCTAGCTATCAATGTTCTTTGACTAAAACCTTTTGTGATTTTTAGTTTTTGATCAAAGTCCCTGATATTAATGTAATAATGCATTTCTATGTAGGTTATTATATTTTTAAACTAAAAATGAAATTTGTAGTTATTTATATTAATGAGATTTTAAATAAAACCCATGTATATATTATGTGTATACATGGGTACGTTCATAAAAAAACTAACCAAAAAATTATTGTACCAAAACATGGGAACATTTTTCAAAAACACAAGGAAAAAAAGAAAGATATTAGGCTTAATAATTATTAAGTATTTCTTCTATTAAACTTGACATGGATACATTCTTAAATCAACGAAATAGAATGTACCTATATAAGTTTAAAAAATGGATTATAAAAAAGATTGAATGAATTTTATACAAAAAAATGGGTACATTTTATATTAAAAAAAGGGTACATTTTTCATATAACAAATTGGTATATTTAAGAATGGGTACAAATCATTTTTTTTATAAAAATCTAATGGGTACAAACTTATTCTAATTTTATTTTTTATATTTTGGAAATGTTTGAATTGAAATTAATTAGGAGTTTAATAAGGGTGTGAGTATTAAAACTCTAAATCAATTACTAATTTTATTATAAAAATTATGTAACTTACATGTAATTCATTAATATATTAATGCTAGGGACTCTTGTGACAGCTCGTCCCTAATTTTTCAATTTTATAAATTTTAAAGGTGTGAATTGATGAAAATGCCCCTAGAGGTAGGGATTTTGACTTTCGTTGACCATTGTTTAGAGAGACGTATGACTCGTTCTTTTGGTGTATTTGCATAGTACACGATGATACAAACGCGTAGGCACAAACAGAACAGAATTTGGAGTTACGACGAAGATTTTACAAACTACGGAGCATGATGGGCGTTTTGGTAAATTCACGTTACGGGATATATTTTTCTGTATTTTCATTGGTGATTTTGAGTTGTATGCCAAGTGGGGCCCACACCCCATTTCTCCCTCTTTTCCGTGTCTCCCACTTTCTCGATCTCCCTCTCATTAGTCATTTTCCCTCTTTCTATCTTCACAGTCTATCTTTTTCTCACTCTTAACTCTCCCTCTCTCCGTGAAACTCGCCGGACCACCACCACCACTCTCTATGACAAACTTCACCGCCACCATCGTCGCCTTCTTCCTTGTCTCAAACCCAGACCAAAAACTTGGAAC